GTACCAGGGATTGAACTCAGGACCTTCCGCTTATGAGGCAGGTGGTGGGAACCACTGAGCTAAATCCCTGGTCCTGCCAATGTTGAATTGGTGGTTACTAAGATTTTTCAATATAATTTAAAAAAGTGGGACTATAAAGTAAACAATTCATCTCTATTAATTGAAAAACAAAAGATAATAGTTTTATAACATTTTGCAAATTATTTTATTTTTCAAAATAACTTGTATATGTTGCAGCAGCAATCTTGAAAATTCTATAAAATGGTTGCTCTAATTGGTTTTTTTTTTTTCCTTTACTGGGGATCAAACGCAGGACCTTGCACTTGTGAGGCAGGCGGTGGAACCACTGAGATAAATCCCCGGCCCTAATTTTGAATGGAATTGAAATTTGTTATAGAACTTTCCAAAACCTGAGAACAATCTAATTATGAATACTTTATGCATATTTGGAGCTTTTAGTGTAGAAAGGCTGATATATCCTAATTTTAGAAACATTAGATTATTTCTTTGTTATTTTTGGTACTGGGGATCAAACACTGGACCTTGTGCTTGTGAGGCAGGCAGTGGCACCACTGAGCTACATCTGCGGCCCAAGATTATTTCTTATTGTTTAAAGAAGTTGAACAATGGAGCACCTCCCTTCTCTGGCAACTTGACTATCAGAAAATATTAATAGACAGAAGGCATTAGTGAAACAATACGAAACACAATCCTAGTAAAATGAACCAATGTATTTGACATTACCCAGTGTGCTATTTTGACTCATCGATTGACAGGTCCGGCCTAGTGGGTCTGTCTGCTAATCCCAGTTCCTGTGGTCATCACCACCACGCTCCTCCCCAGCCCCTGCATACAGAGGCTCTGCCGTCCCTCCGGCACATGGTGGCTGAACATGCTGCCCACGTTGCCCTTCTGTCCTCATATTTCAGCAGCTTTTGATGAACAACAACTGGCTGATCACAAGGCTTTCCCCACGGTCACTGGCTGCTGTGTCCTCAGTGGCTGCGGAGAGTTGGGGGGCAGCGTCTGTCTGAGCCACAACTCCAGTGAGAGATTCACAGCACAGCTCCAGCCTCGGGGTCTTTGCAATGGACACTGTAGCGGGGCAGAAGCTGAATCCCGCATCTGACAAAATGAGCCTGTTCAGCACAGAAGGAAGGAGAGACAGCGGAAAAAATGCGGCGAATAAGCGAGAGTTTAACAGTGCGTTCGTTTTATGTCACTGAGCATATGTAGAGACAGCACGAGTGAGACACTAATGTGGTTGCTTTTTGAGTTTTCAAATTCAGGTAAATGTTCAGGGAATATGGCCATCAGCCACATTCAACTCAGAGTACACAGAAAGCTCTCATCACTGATAGTTCTCTCTGGAGAGCAAACCCTGTATTGATTAAAATAGTCACTCTATTGTAGCTATATGCATTTTCTTTCATGTATAAATCTGCATATATAAATATACTTATTATGTTTCTGCGCTTCAGATTAGTGATATTTTATATTGTATTATACCGCACTAATGCTATTATCAAAATTTATATGAATAAACTATTTACATCTTCCCAGAGAGTTCTAAAGCAGTAGTTTTATTATTACTTTGGGGAAATATAAATAATAACTTTGGCCATAAAATTTTAGTGGTTTGAAGCATTTGATTTTAATTTCTGTGTGTTTGAGCATCTGTTTCCCATCATGAGATAATTGTATTCTTATGTTTGCCCTGATCTTAAGAAGGAGGAACAAAAGCCTGCAGGAAAGTTCAAGCGTCAGTTTGATCTGCACGTCCTCTGTGTGGGACATTTTAGATCATCAAGCACAGTGGCTGGAAGTTTTATTTGGGGAAAGTCATAAGAAATTAACTTTCAATTTGGTTAATTGCATCTGTAATTCACATATATTCATATGTAGTAAATTGTAGCTTTAAAAGATATTAAAAATTCAAATGAGATTCAGAAGATGACTTTAGTTATGTGGGCGATTGGCGAAATCTAATGATTGGGGGCGCAGTGCTACAGACCTATGTGAGTACATTCCCCACCAATTAAGATGCTGAAACCCTGAGCCCTGAGGGGATGGTTCAGAGGTGGGGACCTGGGGGTGCTTAGGTCATTAGGTTGATGCTCTCACGGGTGGGATTAGTGCCTTGTAAGAAAGGGCCCTGGAGAACTTCCTTCCCACTTTTCTGTACTGTGACAACACAGAGGGAGGTGATGATCTGGGGACCAGAAGGCAGACTCCCTGCCAGATAAAGAAGCAGCCTGGACTTCCTGGCTTCTGGAACAATGAGGAATAAGTTTCTGTTGCGGAAGCCACCTAGTTTATGCTATTTTTGTTATAGCAGCCCAAATAGACTAATATACCTAGACATGAACATTTGTTTCTATGTTTACATATGTATATTAACATGGGAATCACATTTCTTGTTTCCAGATAACTGACTGGCATTCTGAAAAATAAAAATACCTAAAAATTCTATATTGCAAAGTAATAAAAATAATTTTATAAAATAATCTTGCAATGAAAAAATACATAAAGATACAAAGTGTACATATCATTAGGAAAATAATGATAAATACACTCACACAAAATTAAGGAAAAAATCTACAAAGAAAAGTAAGAGCAAAGTCTAAAGAAAAATGATCAAGGACTGTTTTTAAAAAGTATAAGAATGTCTTATCTTTCAATAAAGCAGACAGAAGACACAGCCATTCACAAAAAGGAAATGCAACTATCTTACCAATGTATAAAGAGATGCCAAAAAGACACTATGGAAAGATACTCACAATTAAATCTTTGCACACATAAATAATAAAACCCACTAATCATGTCTTTAGGAAAAAGAAAGAGCTTCATCATAACTGAATTTGATGGGAGAGTCAACTACGAGAAGCATATTGGTGCTAACTTTTTTTTTGAGTCAAGGTCTCCTGATCTTGCCTCAAACTCTCGGGCACGAGCGATCACTGGCCCCTAGCTGACCAGGCAGATTCACGGTAGGTGTGCGCCACTACCCCTAGCTTCCAAGAAAATTTGTAATTCTGGGTCATAGACAAAGCTGTCATTTTCAACTCAGTAACTGAATGGCAGGAATGGGTATATTATAAGTCAAAATATACAGGCACATAATCATTGTAACATTCTTCAAAATGTTAAAATATTGGGAACAACTGAAGTGTGAACACTGATTATAAGTGTTCTGGTCATCTATGTATCTGTCATCTACCTATCAGTCAGTGATCTATCTACCTATCTGTCTGTCCACCATTTCAATACTTTAACACAAAAGGATGAGACAAATCTGGATGTGCTGACTTGCAAATATCCTTGGGATGCAGTGTTGAGAAGAAAAAGAGCAAAATTCAGGAGAGCATATTTATTACGCAGTCATGTAAGTGAAGTAATAATCAGTGCAGCCTATGTGTACTGTATGCCAAGGTTTATATTACCCACTTTACAAACGTAACATCCAAACACACCCCTGAATGTTAGAGGGTATTTGTAACTTTTTCAAGGTCATACCAGTGGTCAAAGCCATCTCCTCCAATTGAGCTCAAGACTGTGTGTAGTTGTTAGGGTTGCTGGGGCAGCTCCCTGCAATTTAATGAATTACAAAGTGGACACAACCTCCTCAGAGACTGTCACATGAAAGTCAATTTCTGCTCTTTCTCTTTCTGTATCTTACCAACATATCTATAGTATCATAAAAAAGTGCCCTTATTTGTGCCTTTTTTCTTTAAGGGATACTACATTTTATTTATTTTAGAATTTAGCTTGAAAGAGTTAAAGTCTTCCAGTAATCTTTGGGAGCAAGGTGCCATGGGGTGAGGGGCTTGAGCTCTCATACACAGAGCAAGGCAGGGCCCGAGCTCCTCCCCTCCGACCCTGAGGTCCATCTTCATCCTCCTGAGACCGTGCAAGTGGTGCTGGGCCTCAAGGAGGGCTCAAGAGCTTTGCACCAAAGGGCTTCATCAGCCTCAGGAACACTCAGCCATATTTCTTAGCCAGAAAGGACAACTGTTTCTCCCCTTTTCCCTCCTCTCTATTTTCTCTGTCTTCATAGGTGAAGCAAGATTATCTGTCTGTTTAGTGCACCATCTATGATCTAATGGAAGATTGCAAATGAGAAAATAAAACTCGTACAGCCACAGTTTCAGGAATAACCTTTTAAACAGAGTCAGTTTCTTTTTTTCCTTTTGAAGTAAGAGTTGCATAATTTTGAAGGCTGACACAGTCTTAGTAAGGAAGTGGGACAGTTGCAGTGCGTGTTGGTCAAATAAAGACATGGAGCCCCGCAGATGAAGTTGGGGCCAAGAGTAGCATCAGTTTTCGAATACTCATAAGTTAAAATTTCATGATGCTTGAACATTTGCCTACGTGGGTAAAAAGTTGGCTCAGGACGACACTAGGCACCGGCCCTTCCGGGAGAACATCCCGGCAGAGGGCACAGCGCTTACTTCTCTGTCTGTGTCCCCGGCAGTGTGGGGTCCTCCAGCTTAGGGCTCACGGACAGTGCTGCTCCCTCTCCAGCCAAACTGAGGCCCCAGAAGTGTTACAGACATTTTTCTTCTGGGAGGGAAAGAGGGGAAAGGGAAGAAAAAAATCTTTCTTTAAAGGCAAATATGTGACCTCTTCCTCTTCCCCAGAGTCAAAATGACCATGACAGGGGAATGTTTTGAGTTACTTTGGGAAATGCAGGCAGCCGTGATGGCATAACTGAGGACACCCGTGAAAGGGGACTCCACAACTGCTTCAGACAGTGGCGAGGATGGGACAAAGGTGTTCAAAACGATGGGGGAGGGGGCGGGGATTTAGCTCAGCAGTTCAGTGGCCTGCCTCGCAAGCGCAAGGACCTGAGTTCGATCCCCGGTACCACACACACACAAAAGAAAAACCAACCAAACAAACAGCAACAGCAAAACGATGGGGAGACTCTGAGCAGGATTAATGGCAATGCGCCATGAATGAATTTTTAAAAACTGTAAACCACTGTGTTTTTCCATCCTACCTCAGTTTTCAGGTGGGTGACTGTGTGCTTAAGTGAAATATTATTATCTTAAAAAAAGAGGAGCACAGCTTTTGAGGGCAGGGGTCTGTCACATGTGCCTTGAATTCCTCTGCAATTTAAAACTTCACTTTAGGATTACATACATATTCTAAAGGGATAAAACCAGCAATACATAACTTGAAATGACTGCAACTTAAATTCAGATGTGTTTTAGCTGCAAGCATTTAATTTAAGCTACTGTGACTTAGGTGTTGAGCAGCTGAACCCTAAATACTCAGGAGTCAATAATCTGATCCAAGTCATTTCCATGAGGACCTATGGGAAAATCCACATTACCCTTCTTCCTTACAGATGAGAACCACACCAAGTTTCTAAACTGATAATTCTATGTCAACATGTTCTGAGCAAATTTCTTGACTGACTCATTTAAGAATCCCTGAATAGATTTCCCCCTGTTCTTTGGGAAATGTTTTCATTTCATTGCTGATGTGTCTTTATGTCTTTGGAGTCAGACATGTCACAGACTGCTAAAACTTCTTCTCAAGCTGATTGGCTGCTATCTATCCTCACAGGGTGCACAAATGAGCTCTTACAGTTGCTGGAAGTCTCTTGTCAAGTTTTACCCACCATTCCAGAACAGATGGATGAAGCTGGGCAATTTAAAGGAAGAAGCAAGACGCCAAAATCTGTTTCCAGCGCTCTGGGTACCACATGTATTATCTTATTCTTCCTGTGTTTTCTACCATGTCAACTGGAAAGCTGATGTATTCTAAGAGTCCGGGTTTCAAGGGCCGAGATAAACTCAGTGGGACAGACTGATAACCCATAGCTCTTTTAGTGAAAGAAGGATCAATTAAGAAAGTTTATGGAGAGCTACTAGAGTCTTGAGAAAATGCCTAACTCAGTAGTTGCAAAGAAAATATATTGTCGTTGTTATTCTAGATGCTATATATAAATACCTTTCATTTTTGTAATTTATGAGAAATAGTGGAGTTGTGAGCACTTCATAAACTTATTTTTAGTTTTAATACATTTTGTTCACTTGTTCTTATCATCAGGGCAAAGAACCTAACTAAATCTGGAGCAGAACCATACCTAACTTACACTGCAAATGTTTTGATTAAAATTCTCCTGATAATACTTCCACATCCCATAGCTATCTATATGCTAATATCGCCAACAAATTATCAGATGCTATTTCTACATAACCTTTTTCTCAATAAATGACCAGTAGTGTTCAGAATGGCCTCAATTTTGGTGGCAGTTTTAATTTTATCTAGCAAAAAATTGACTCATAAAGAAACTGATTACATAGTTTTGCTGTTAATAATATGGTCTCTAGTTTTAAGACTTGTAATATGTGAATTTGTCAGATTAAATTTTCTGAGGTATAGTATTGCTGTTTTTTTTTTTTTTTAACTTATATGAACTTTTAGAAGCAGAGTAGACTTTTCCACTCAGGAGATTTAGCAATGTAGAATATCAATTTTTCCATTGATTTTATTTGTAAACTTCATCTACATTACATTTTTGTTACACAAACACTGTTTCATTAAGGTTCCCTACTTGAAGAATTAATAGCTCTCTGAAACATAATCAGCAGAAAGACTGCAGAAATAATTTGGGTGATTTACTGACAATGCTAGTAAAGCTCAGGATTTTAAACAACAGGATTCTTATTGTGCTCTGTGTTTCTGACTTCTCACCATGGACAGCTGCACAAAGGAAACCTATGTTGGGAACAATTATTTCATCTCTGTCTGGGGTATGAGTTTGTTAAGAAATATTTAAGAACCAGTATAAAAATTTAGAAGAATTTTAAATGTTTTCATTTACTACTGCCATCTGCAACTTTAAGAACTATTTTAACATTAGATAAGCAAGGCGAGAGAGAGGGCAAAAGGAGGGAAGAATTGAGAGAAAGAGATTGAGATATTAAAAATGTTACACAATAGAGATTTGAAAGAACAACCCGCTGGGAGAAAAAAGAAACTGAAGAAAGGTAGAAGAAGAATAAGGAGACTGAAATAAAGTTGACAGGGGCTAATATCACTGGATTAGATCTTCTGGCAGATTAAAAATGTTCATGTATTTATTCTTTGAACATATAGAGCATAGAAAGACTTCCACCCATATGTTTATTGGAAGATGTGGAAAGAATTTCTTGTTGACACCAGGAAACTTGGAAGCACATCTTGTCGACTGGTTATTTTGTTTTTTTGAATCTCTTCTGAAAATACCCTTTATTCCCTCGCTTGCCGCTTCCTTTACTGTTTGGTTTTGTGCATGAATGACTGAAGCTTATTCATCACGCAATGGCACTGCACCATGTTACATAACTGATATGATCACCCACTGTATTATTTATTTTCTCATTTTATTTCATAAGGCCCTGGGGCAAAGCTCATGGAAAACATTTTTACATACAGCTTGTTCTTTGATGTCATAGCACCGTCTCCATTGAGCGTAATGATCCGTCAGAGAAACTGACTTTTGAACACAAGACGGTTTGCCCACTTTCACTGAAACAGTTTTGATTTGGGAATTTGTTGGCTGCAATGCTCTGGATACTTCAGGGCTGGTTTAGCTGCTCACACCAGCAGAGCTATCACCACACAAATTGTGTTTTCCCGTTCCTTCTTGTTACTATGGTCTTACTCCCAAGTTTCCTCCCCCAAACAAGGAGAGCATCACTCAGTGACTCTACTTTATTGATTTGGAAATCAATTTTCCAGTGTTTGGAAGTTTTGAAACAGGCCTTATTCTTTTTCATCATAGAGGGTTTTAAATGCAAATTGAGATCTCGCATGACTTGAACTGTCATAATGTTGTACATTTGAAGCTACTAAATTAAATATTCACATTAACAATGAAAGCAACTGACATTTAAGCAGTGGCTTATGTAGAAAACATAATAGAGACTTTATTCCATATGTGTATGATTAATATGTTCACAAAAGAGAAAGAGAAAAAGGAACTCAGTTTGTAATCCTGATTTTGAAAATGCAGTTTCTTTGAGAAGTTTTATTTTTCTCATGAGAAGCTGATTGCTATATAAATGACTATTCCAGGTTGGCTCCAGGTGTTGGCCTAAATCTTCACCTTTTCTCCCTCTCAGACTCCACCAAGATACACATGCAGCAGTAGAAAATACAAAAACCAATGTTTTTTTCACTTTATAGTTACAAATTCAAAAGATTCCCAGTGAACACAACATCCTTGCTTATATGAAACTTGCATTCTGGTAGAGAGGGCGAGGCAATGAACATTAAGAATCAATAAATTGAATAGTTAACAGCTGCAAGCACTGTGGAAATATGGAATGGTCAGGAGAAATGGGGGAGCTGGGGTGGTCAGATCTTGGTGAGAAGCTGGCATTTGAGAAAAGCCCCAAAGAAAGACAAAGTGAGCACGCAGCACCCAAAGGACCAGCGTTTTATGTGGAGAGAATAGGCAACTGTGAGGTCCAGAGGCTAGGCGGGCCTGGGGATTTGTGGAACAAGAAGGTCAGTGCAGCAGTGGCACGAGTGAGTGTCGCGGGAGACTGGGCCAGGTGAAGGGGCTTAAATTTCACTGAAGGACTGACGTGTGACTTACATTGTAAAGAGACTGCTCGGGAAGCTGTCTTGAGAAGAGAGTGAAGAACAAAGGTGTAGAAATGAAGATGGTGAAGAAGCTATTTAATAACCCCAGTGAAGGCTGGAAGTGGCGTAGACTAGGACTGTCAATTTTGGATAAAGATTTTTTTGGATGAAGATTTTGGATGGAGTTTGGATAAAGCAGTTAGACTCTGGATATGTTTTGAAGTTAGAGCCAGTAGAAATTCCTGATGGACCAGATTGCTTCTTGGCCTTTGGGCTGAGATCAAGTGGAGGATGGAGTTGCCATAGCAGAGATGTGAAAAATTGTGGGTCTGGGGAAGCCCAGAAGTTCACTTTTGGATCTGTCGAATTAGCAATGTCTATTACTGATATAACTGGAGATGTCAAAGAAGAAGTTGAGAGAGCAGGGCTGAGGAAAGGTTTATTCTTGAGATGTAAATTGAAAGTGGTATTTATTTTAAGCTAAATGAATGAATGAAATGATTAAGAGAGTATGAGTAGAGAAGAAAGTCAAGTTTGGTTTTCTGTATTTACTCTAAATGATGGAAATTTAAGGCTATGAAGCATATTCAGTGAATTAAAAACACAGTAAGTCCATCTTTTTAACTGATGTCACAAAAAAGTGTTAAAGAAGTTGGCAGAAATCACAGTAATCTATGTGGGACCCAGGTTATGTCATTTGTACAGATTTTGTACGTGGGAAGCTAAAAACCAACACAAAGGAGTTGATGAGAAATGCTACCACTGAATGCCTTCTTAACATGTAACACAGATTATAATCCTACAAAATATGCTCTTCAAAACAGTGCATCCCTTATTCCCTTACTTCATGACTTACATTAACAAATATGTAGCAAACAGTCTTGACAACTCTTACAGAAAAGGAAGCTATTTCATTGTGTTTAAGTGATATATTTCCAAAATACATTAATATTTTCATACAGAAAATTTTCTACAGAGAATATCTAGGATAATGGTAACACAGCCACCACAGTATAAGATGATTCAGAGTACAAGAAAGTCTGTGTGGCTGGGAAGAGTTTAAAAAATGTAGAAGTCTAATAGTTTGTTTTTTTTTTCCTGTATTTGTCATTTATTTCTCACTTTTCTTTAAAACTTCATTGTTGCTTTGTTTTTCTTTTTTTTTTCAGCTTTAATTGAGTTTATTGGTACACTTTAGGGATACAGTACAGTTACATTCATTGTTGGGATCTTGTACATCTACATGACAAGTCTTGATTCTCATTTTTCCCCTTGTCCCTGCCCTCCCTTCACCCCCTCCTCCCCTCCCCATCTACAAACACTTTATTTTCATCTTTTCATTATCTCACATTTTTTTCTTTTCCCTTTTTACCCTTCCCCTACCCATCCCACCTTCCCTACACCTTTAGCTCCTTTCTTCTCATTTCTAAATGTCAGTAATCTTACTAGGGAAGTCTAATATTTTGTATCTCTGACATCATCCAAGGCATAAGATGCATTGTGTTCTATTTAATGATTGTCACATTCAGTCCAGTGAGACATCTAAAAAATACCAAACTGCCAATTTCTTTAACCCTTGTTAATGATGGAAGTGTCTGTGCTAACTAGCCAGCTTGAAAACCAGAGAGAAGATCTAGGTGTAGCCTAGAAGTAGTGGAACTTGTTCCACAGAGTCAGGCTATGACTCATGGTTTAATAAACTATTCCATGGGTAGAACAGGATTCCAAATGTGTGGACATAACATTCTTTTCTGCACCTTGAACATAAGTTTTCCCTGAAGTGTGTGGTTGAGCGCCAGGCATGGTGTACACATGACCTACAGGGTGCACTCATGTAGATGATCACCAACAGTCCCAGCTTTGCAGGCGACTGGCGCAGAAGAACTGCGGAGCCAGGAATTTGAGGCCAGCAACAAAATTAGATCCCGTCTTAAATGAAAGAAATACATGTTTTTGCCACAGTCTGAATTCCCCAAAGAAGACATGTTTGCTTGTTAGATATTCAAGTTTCAGTTCTGTGAAGTCGTGCCCCCCCCAAAAGAGAGAAAACCATTATAAAGAAGACATGTTGAATATCTTGTTAGATATTCAAGTTTCAGTTCTGTGAAGTCGTGCCCCCCCCAAAAGAGAGAAAACCATTTAATAAAGACTCGTTTTTTCTAAAAATTCCTATAAGCACTAGGAAAAAAAAAAAAAAGCCAGCATCTCTCAGAGGTGTCAATTCTATTCTTCTCAGCATTTTATGAAAGGCCCAGGGAGCACAATGGCTACAACTGCAATGAGAGGTGTGAGTGAATCAGTCTTTAAACTTTGGCACCAAAGTGGCCTCTGAGGGCATAGTTCTTGTCATTATGATAAGGAAAATTTAAAGAGACATTTTGCTATAGTGCTTGATTTTTGAAAATATTGGTTGAAATATAACCGCAATTTGGGGAACTATGTTGTAATAGAGAATTAGCAAAAAGGCAAGTTATACAGAAAATTTGACATGAAACTCCACATCTACAACACCCAGAGAGACACGAGCTGTCTCCTGCGGGACCAGGAATTATATTTCATTTATCTGCTCAGAGAAGCTCTGTCGGCTCTTGGTAATGAATCCAATGGTACGTGGAAGCTTTCTAATCTCACAGCGTCCACAGTCAGGCACCAGGGCTGAAACGGCAGACTTCATGTGTTCTGTGACTGAAGAGGCCTCTGCTGACAGATGACCGGATGTTGGATTCCCTCAACAGCGACTTTCCGGTGTAACATAAATTCTGATGCGAACTGAAGATAACGGAAGAATAATATTAAATCAAAAATATAGAATAAAAATGCAGCAAACACAATTAACTGTCTAAATTATTAGCTCTGCATTAACCACTTAAGAAAGTAAATTATAATATATGTTAATCTCTTGGGCATTTATCTCATATAATTTGCAAAACTGTGCTCTGCAGAAACACGCAGTCCATGAATATTTTCTATTCTTAACCCTTTAATACTGTACTCTAGTTCACCAAGCAAGACAATGAGAAACACGGAACGAATGGGGGAAGGTTCTGCGGTTTGCACTGTGAATGTCCCCCAAAGCCCCAGGGTCCCTGTGCTGCTGCTGGGAGGTGAACCGCTGGGGAGGGGCCCAGGGAGCGGGGACAGAGCCTTGGAAGCCTCTCCCTCGCCTCCTCCTCCTCTCCTCTTCCCGCCTACCCTGGGGTGCTCGCGGTGAGGGAGGCGGTCCCAGAGACAGACTGGCTTCCAGCCGGCGCCCAGGTGAGAAGCCCTGACCCGACCTGAGCTGAGAAGCGTGCGCTGCTCCTGCCGGGCCGTCTACCTGCAGGGGTGGCCGCTGAGAGCGCCGGGTGCGGCCCGCAGGCCAGCTGCACGATGGGGCTGAGTTCAGCCCTCCGACCCTCTCCGCGTCTCCGTCTGGGACCCGCTGCAGCCGCTCCCGAAACACGCGTGAGAAGGGGACCTGCGCGGCAGAGGGGTCGTCAGAGCACGCGCGGTCTCCCCTAAAGGGACTCCCTGAAAAGCGCGCAACTCCTGCCAGCGCCCAGCTCCGCGTCCTCGCACCTCCAGAGGTGCGCTCTGCGGGACCCGCCGCGGTAGGAGCCCGCAGCAGGGCGTCTCTGCCCGGGGGTCTCCTTCCCTGCCGGCTCTTCTTGGGGTCAGTCAGTCCTCTGCCGAGACTTCGACCCTCCTGCCGCACTTGCCACACTTGTGTGATTTTTCAGAGGCTCCGCAATGGCCCTGCCGCTTCCTTCACCCATACCCTTGGGAAGAATTCTGGCGAAGAATCCACACGCAGCTGTCTCTTCCGCAGAGTGGCTGAGTGGCCGTCTGCAGGGTCCGAGGCGCGGCCGGGAGCAGACACGCTGCGATCCGGTGTCAAGGGACCATTTCCCACGTCAGAGGTTAGTCGCTTTAAAGCTTCTTAACAACACTGGAAACTTGAATTTCTCCTATTTAACAATGATTTAAAACAGGAAGAAATAGTGGTTTTGGTGATTACTAAGTATTCTCTATAACCCCTGCAAAGAAATGTGCTTCTTGAACTTGCATTAAGAAAAACATTAAAGGCTCATTAAGGTTAACTAGATTAGATGGTTAAAAGCAAATGACACTAATTATTATTTACCTTTATTTAGATAAGGTATTTAGAGAGAAAAATGAAAGGATCCATTTAGGAGTTTTGTAATTTACCAAGAACGAACGAGGTAAATTGCTAACGCCCCCAGACCCCGTTACTAGGGATTGGACCTTGGACCTTTGCACTGAGCAACATTCAGACCTTTAGAGCTTTTTTCTTTAGCTTTCACTTTTTATTTTTATTTTAGGTTCTCACCAAGTCACTAAGCTGCTTAGGCTGGCCCTGGACCTGTGGACCTCCTACTTCAGTATCCTGGGGGTGCTGGAAACACAGCCAGGTTTCGGATTCATCATAAAAGAGCACATTCCTTTAATTAGGGATGGGAATTCTGAATGCTCTTTCCTAGGCAGATCTGTGAGGCGGGCAGATCCTTAACTTTCCCTTCTCTTGCTGCGTCTTCGGTTACCCAGAGCATCAAACAGCCTTACCATCTCCAAAAGTGACTGATGAAAGATGGTGCCCTTCGTATCCCGAGACCTTGCAGTTAGTCAGTGGCCATCGCCTCAGAGGTGGGTGAGTAATGTCTTATTTCTTGTTCTGAGTGAAAAATACCTTATCTTAACCAAGGGCCTGGAAACCCCAGGAAACGCTTCCAAGCAGTCACCGCCACGGCACCCCACGTGACAGCCGGAGGTTCCGGGCCTCTTCCCAGGCAGCTCTCACACGGGCCAGGTCTGCAGAGCTCACCACCCGGAGGGCAAAGAGTGAGAGTCATGTTCTTCTATGTGATTAGAGAGGTTGCTGTGTTCCTCGCTGCTACTTACACGCACTGTGTCCCTGTGATGAATGTAATCAGTATGTGCCACCAACGCATTAATAAAAATAAAAGTTAAATATACAGATGCTTCTATTACAGCTTTTCTATATAGGCAGAGCCTAAAGTAATTTTAAGATTTACTTAGACAAAGGAATAAGTAACCAACCGACAAAGTCAGAGAAACAAGATGGTACAACTGAATGCTAGTGACTGCACGAGACTAACATCTGAATTGGTAGACAGAAAAACCGAGCGGATGACCTGCCTTAATGTGGTGGGCTTAGCTGAAGAGCTAAGGAGAACAAAACTTGTGAAGCACTTTCTATACCCAATTGTCTTCCAGATGGGACATTGGTCTTTTCCTGCCTTTGAGCTCAGACTCAGATTAGAACTCACATCACTAGATTTCCTGTTTTTCAAGACTTTGGATTCAGACTACAACTATGCCATTGACTTTCTTAGGTCTGAACATCTGAGCAATCAAAACTGAATAAGCAAGTTCCTTTTAATAAATCTCTTTCTCCAACTCCACACATAATACTGATATCCACTTATACACATCATGTTGGTCCTGTTTCTCCTGAGAACTCTAACCAAGGCTGATCTCTGTGCCAAGAAATGGGGGCAACTGTGACAAAAAATGTGGAAATAGCTTTGCAATGGGTAGAGGCCAGAAGAGCTTTCAGACATCTGCATGTTTTCCCCAGGGCCTGCTTTCAGGTGAATCCTAGGGAGGTGATTTGAGGAAGCGAGGGAGAGGATTTGGAGTCATCCTATAGCACACGGCTGATCTCAGTAGGCTGGGTGGCTAAGGCAGGAAGATGACAGTTATGAGCCCAGCCTGGGCAATTTAGTCACTTATTGAGGCTTTTGTCAAAATAAAACAAAATAAAAATGAAAATTTAAGAAAAGGGCCAAGGACGTAGCTCAGTGCAAAGGCCCTGGGTTCAATCACTAGTGGGGAGGGGGAAATGATGATTGAAGAAAGGGACTTGAGAAATTGAGGGGACTAGTAACTGCTGCCAGACAGAAATGTTACTTTTGAAATTTACTCATATTGTACAAGTGCCTGGGCTCTGAAAAAGTCACCTATCACTAGGTAATCCCCAAGATTCCACATCACATAAAGTTCTCCCAGGTGGTATCTGCATGAGGTCGAAGAAATCCAGGTGTTAGTAAGGAAGAAAGTCTTAGGCAAAATGGATTGAACAAAATAGCGATGGATGTGCACTTACGTCTTTACGAGAAAACAGAGACGACATGCACCATGGCGGGTACCAGAGTTTGTTGGTAAACTGTTCTTAATTTCTATGTTTTACAAATTAATTTTAGTGGTACATTTTAGGTATACAAAATAATAACACTCACCCTTGGAAATGTGTACCTTTACATAATCCATCTTGGTTCTTATTTTTTCCCCATTCCCCTGCCCTCCCTTCAACCCCTCCACCCTCCCTTGTCTTACGAAGACTCTGTTTCCATTGTTTCATTTTCTCATATTAATTCCATTCGCTCCTTTCCTTTCCCCCAATCCCTCCAAGTTCCTCTACACCTTTGCCCCATCTTTTCCTACTTTACAGTATCTGTTATGCCTTTAGATCCTTATATACATTTTCAACTTCTCATATCCAAGAAACTGTTCTTTGTGCACATGTCCTATTTATTTCTCTCAAGAATATCACCTCAATGTAAATCCACTTAGCTATAAATGTCTCTAATTTCTTATTTTTTATGGCCAAGTAGTACTCCATTTTATATAAAAATACACATTTTCTTCATCCAGTCTCCTGTTGATGGGCAATTGGGCTGTTTCCAAGTTTTAGCTATTACAGATTGTGCTGCTGTGAGCATGGGTGAGCGTATATCACTGTGGTGTGATTCTTTTAGCTCTTTTGGGAAGATACCCAGTAGGGGAACAGCTGGGTCAAATGGGACCTCTAATCCTAGTTCTTTGAGGAATCTCCACACTGCACCAGTCTGCCCTCCCACCAGCAGTGGAGCAGTGTTCCTCTTTCCCAACAGTTCCGCCAGCATTTGTTATTGGTTGATTTTATAATAGCAGCCATTCTTTTTGGGGTGAGGTGGAATCTTGGCATTGTTTTCATCTGCATCTCTCCAATGACCAGTGATGTTGAACATTTTCCATATGTTTATTTGGTATTTCTGCTTTGTCTGAGAAATGTCTGTTCATTTCAGATGCCCATTTTTGGATTGGGTCTTTAAATTTGGGAGGTCTGATTTTTTAAAGTGCTTTATATATTCTAGGTAGTAGACTTTTGTCTGAGGAACAGCTGGTAAAATTTTTTCCCACATTATGGATTGTCTCTTCATGGTTGGTGGTTTCTCTTCCTGTGCAGAAAATTTTTAATAAGAAGAGATCCCACTTATTGATTCTTTATGCTAGTTCCAGTGCAACTTAGGTTTTGCTCCTGAAATCTTTTCCTACACCAGTGTCTTCAACAGTTCTACATACCCTCTCTTCCAGCTGGTTTAGAGTTTCTGTTTTTTTTTTTTTTTGGTACCGGAGTTTGAACTCTGGTCCTTGCACTTGCTAGTCAGGCCACCGAAACGCTGAGCTAAATCCCTGGCCCCCTAGTGTTTCTGTTTTAATATTTAGATCTTTAATCCATTTTGATTTTAGTTTAGTGCATAGTAACAGATATGAGTCTAATTTTAATCTTTGGGAAGTTGAAATCCAGTTTTTCCAGCACCATTTACTAGAGACTGTTTTTTCTGCAGTCAGTGTGTTTGGCTCCTTTGTCGAAGATGAGGTGGCTGAGTGTGTCTGGAGTTGTTTCTACATCTTCTAACTGGTTCCACTGGCCCTTGGGCCTGTTTCTTTGCCAGTACCATGCTTAATTTCTTGATGATATGATGATGATAGTGTTTATTTCTTTAAATATGTTTCTGAGTATGCTTTGCTATTTGGAAATATTTAAACTGAATATTTAATCTGGCTCTCAAATTAAATCAATCATATTAATTAAATTAATCATATTCAATTAATATGAAATTCTCAAATTTTCTACTCTTTTTCAGTGGTGAACCCTTTGTGACTGACTAATAAGAATACATTGACATTTCCATCGTAAAAAGATGAGTGATTGCAAAATGCATTACTCAGAGTAGAGGAAAACAACTTTGTGAAACTGTTTTTCCTCACTCTGTTATAAAGAGACATGGCTGATATCTTAATAACCATGTGCAAAGCTCCCATCTCATAGTGGAAGTCAGATGATAACCTTAAGTTTTAAAAATATAGTTTAATCTGGAGGCAAAAGATTGGCCAAATTTCTCAAAGTCTGAATAACTTTAGGTAAAAAGAAGACAATTGTTTATAAAATATTTGCAAGAAAAGAACAACAAAGGGCTAGACACACATAATACTGTGATTTTAAAATACAATAAAGCTTTCATATCCAGATCAGGGTTCCACAAACCTCCACTTCTGTGGGTAGCTCGGTGTAGAAGAGACTGCTGAGGACTCTGCCACTCACCGGGCCTTCACACTCTGCTCACCCTTTATCTGCCCTCAGAGAAGCCACTTGCTGATGGTCTGCACAGGAGTTCCAACATCAGCCTTGAGCAACCTGGCTCCGACTTTCCCAGATTTCCGCTCTCGGGTCTTCAGATCACATTTCTGACAGGTTAAGAAGAGCAGACCGCTCCGTCTCACCAAATACTGATTATTCTGCCAGCTGCTTGCCTCTGTCATCTCTTCATCAGGTCACCAGAGTAATCTTGTCCACACACCCACAGGAGAAGAGGCTCTGTTACCTTCTCTTCATCCTCCTCCTCTGTTTCCCACCACAAGGGCCTGTGAGAGCGAGGGCACACTAGCCCAGGGGAGACCATTGACTGTGTTTCTGACAACAGCACTGTGCCCTGTTAAGCCAACAAAGACTCCTTCGCTGCCCCTCCATTCTCATTTTACCTGAAAAGAGCAGTGACACAACAACAAAAACAGTGCTTGCACACTTCCTTTTATGAGTAACCAAACAGACTCCATGCTTTAGTTGTATTGGCTTAGCTGCTGCAAGGTTTTGAATGGATTTGAAATGTTTACCTTTCATCATTATTTTTACTTTGAGGAAGAGCCAGAAGTCACATAGTGCCAGGTCTGGGAAGACGATGGTTGAACACACACAGTAATGTTTCTACAAGCCTGCCTTCTGTTGGATGGCACTGGGTAGCAACATGCACTATAGTTTTGATCATGCCTCCTAAAGACACTCATTAAAGAGTATCAGGGACCCAAGCAAGAGACCTGATGTGCTGGGTGCTATGACATAAGGCAAGAAGAAAGACTCAGGGACAGAATCAATGTGAAATGGGGAACTGGGATAGTCAGAGCCGAACAAACCAAGACCCTAAACAGCCAGAACTGCTGCCAGTTGTTGGTGACCCATTCATTTAATAAGTGGGTTGAGGGGGGTACAAGTGGTTCCTAGAGATAAGTGCTGATGCAGGCAATGCTCGTAAGGGAAGGGACAAAGTGTTCTTGCACTGAGGAACAGAACAGAGCAGAAATAGGTTGTGGTTACTGATTATCCTGTTTTTGCAGTTAAGAAGGTTTAGATTCTGGGAACTGAATTTGGGCAGGAGTCACACCGACCTCAACCTCCACATTTCTCATATCGAAGCCCCACAGCTTCAGGGACCATTTCTCTGGCCTCTGCTGTGGCCCTTGGCAGGTGGTAATGCTGACCCCCGTGCTGTCCACAGTGCTCTCATGAGTCTCATAAGTTCAGCAGACTGCTCTTTAAAACAAGCCCATTGTGGGGTTAATTCTTTACAACCTGCACTTCTCAGAGCCTGTGCTGGGCATAGCAAACAGGGCAGTCTCCTCAAAAGAGAACATTTAGAACCGCTTTAGAAAGTGGCAAGAAAAGTGGGGTTAAATGTGCTGGAGGTGTGTGTGGGGGTACTCTGGTATGAATTAATGGCAATGTGTCTTTTATTGCAATAAATCTTAAAAAAATTAAGCATATTGTATATTTTGACCAGTCCTTACATGATTGAAGTTATACAAGTAAAGTGGACCAACATTTAACTCTGTCTGAGACCATGAAAACCACTCCAAATATTCCTTGACTGAATCTTAAGAGTAAGAACTCCGAGGTACTAAGAAACTTGCTTCTTTTTCTTACCATTATGCCATTATGGGTTAGGAATAAAAAAGGTAAACTGATGACTTGAGAAGTAGAACACTTTTAAAATATGTTAGAAAGATATTCTACTGATTCCACTAAACATGTATCAATATATTGTTAGTTTAGAAGATGTTGATCAATTCATGCAAAGATAACCTTAGCGAATATATTATTTTTTCCAACAGTTTTCAGTCATTCAGATGTTTCCCTTGATTAACTTTTTAAATCCAAGACTCTTTCAGACAATTTGAGGCCTAGCATTGCACTTTATAGCTACTGTAACTATTGATGATAACTGTTCTATACAGAAATGTAAAAAGTTACGGTGCTACAGAAAATGATACAACGAATAACATAACATTGTTACGGCTGCTGGGGGACCTCTCAGGGCGCCCCTCTACTCTAGTCCTTGCTCTCACTTCGGCAAAGAGTGGAAAAGTGGGCATCTTCCTGAGAAGTGGGGGAGTCAAGGCTGGTATAGGGGGAGGCAAAGCCTTATTCAAAGTGCGGTAAATGTGGAGAAAGCAGAAGGGAAACTGTTTTAGCACCAGAGTAGTGCCGTAAGAGAGGGTGCATCTTGCTTGGGACGCCCTGTGAGTATAAGTTGTGCTTCAGCATAATTTAAGAAAGCTTCAACATTTTACATTTTCAGTATGGCGTTTGGTCTAGGAGTAGAACACACACTCTCCAAAACACAATCTTCA